TCTTGCTTCCAAGGAGCATTCTGGCTGCACTTCTTTTAGGAATTTAAATTAAATTTAAATCCATACTCACTTAAAACTTCAACCAGGCCTAATTGGGCCTGGAATGACTTGGGAAATAAGAATTGATAGTTATCTTAGAACATTACAACTGAGGTGATATTTTTGACTAGTTAGCATGTTAGGATATCAAAGTCATTGGTTTGATCACGTAGGGCCAGTTCATTTTTCTAGGACCTCAATCATACTAACCACATGGCTTTCAATATATACCCTAGGTTATAGGGGTATCATGTAGTAGTGTCTAGGAAGTTTTGTTTAAAAGATTAAAGGGGTCTTCCTGCTTTTTGGACCACTGTTCTTGGGCAAAGGCTCTGGAATTAAAGATAAACTTAAAAAAAAAAAAAGAAAAACCTGTGGAGCACAGTTTTACTCTGACACACATTGGATTGCCATAAGTCAGAATTGATTCTCTGGTAACTGGTGATAATAAATAATACATAAATATAAATAAGATCCCCTTTAACATAAGAGTCTAGAAGAGATATATGTAACAATTATGAATAAATTAGAAAAGTGACAGAAAAAAAAGAGAGAAGAATGTTGTAACTGTGTGAGACCTTGGATCTCATCATGTTTAAGCTCTAAATTTATTGACAAGAAAATAAGAACAGGAGGAAGAAGCCATGCCGTGCATGTTGTTAGAAGGACAGAACTGTACCCTTCCTCTGTTGGTTAACATTCTGGTCTGTAGAGTTTTTGTTTGTTTGTTTTCCCAATTGTTTTATGTTTAAAACAGACTCTCATGTAACTTACCACAAATCTGGTAGTACAAAAATTATGTACTTTGTATATACATCCAAGTAACTCATAACTCAAGGCTCAATGCTAACTATAGCATGAATTTTGTATTTATCTTTCCTTATCTTTTGTAAAATTGGTGTGGCTGAATATGATAAAGAATTTAAAGCTTTTCATAATAAAGTTTTAACTGTGGAAGCAATTTAAAATATTTCATCTAAAATTAACTGTAAAAAAGAAAGATTAATGAATTCTGGAATTTTATATCTGTCAGTTCTTTTCTTAAGGCTAATAGAGTATGTTTCTACGATAGGCATGTTTTCTTCAGTGATAGTTTTGATGGGCTAGTTCTTTCTCCAGGAAACAGGTTCAAATAGGTCTTTTCCCAAGATTACCTCATATTGAAAATTACCTACTAACTTTAATAGCGGTGGGAAGATAGTGTGTTTGGCAATATGCTAATTACTAATTAGAGGTTTTTAACAATGTGAGGCTTGTCTGGAGGTAAGACGAGGAGCACTATTGTAATGGATGCAGCTGGAGGTGAAATAGGAGGCAATTCCAATAGGGGCTTTCTTATACAGATGGAGAGGAATTTTATATTACAGGCATGACTTAAGGCTCATTCTGCTTTTGAAAAGTAGTGTTATCAGTGCCTTCATCATCATCCCACTCAGCGCATTCTACTCTCCCATCCCAACCCCCACCTCTATCCCAGAGTATCCCAAGTATACCCATTGCCATGGAATCCATTCCAACTCATGGTCAAGTCTCAACAATGAATATATATGCTACTTCTAACTTCTTAATCTAAAAACTGAGAGAACATTTATTTAGCGTTTACTGTATTTCATACATGCTGAGTACTCACAGTCAGCAGAAAGTATTTCAATAAAATTATGGTATAAAGTGATTTTTAGCCAACTAACTCCAAAAAGCTAGAAAAATAATTGTAGCTGCAGAATTCTTGAAACTTATCTCTTAATGCACTTTTTATTTCAATAATGTATTGTCTGAATTTTTCTTTTGGTTCAGGTAATTTCCTGCACTAATGACTCCAGACTACAGTGTTCTAGTCTTAGACATTCTCAGCTATCATCTTAACAATATTGGCAAAAAAAAAAAAAAAGCACAAAGAGTCTACAGGTTATTACAATCCCAATAGCATTTCATTTTTAAAATACTTTTAGGACTGGCTGATAAAAAACATCAAACACCACTTGTAAAATTCTAATATCCTCAAATATATTCACATACCATATACCCCTCAAAATATTTTATTTTAGGAAAAATGTTAAGCCACAAACTCAGAACTTGCCAGTAATATATATTTAGCATGGCTTCCACATATTAACTTGAAGCAGAAAACTGATTTGGAACTACAATGTTATTACATATGTATATTTCTCTTAAAGGCATTATACTTTTACAATATATTTGTTCCTTTTGAAAAGAGGATGATAGCAACTGACAAATGATAGATGTTTCATAAATAAGTATTGATTTAGTACAATTTAGGACACCTTTTTTTTTTTTACTTCAAAAATTGTCTTCTGGATTAATCAAGGAGGAGCTCTGGTAGCATAGTGGCTAAAGCACTTGAATGCTAACCAGAAGGCTGGCGGTTCAAACCCACCAGCCCCTCCTCGGAAGGAAGGTTGGGCAATCCTACTTCCGTAGTGATACTGCCTCGGAAACCCAAGGAGGGGTCGCTATGAGTCGGGGCTGACTCGACGGCACATAACAACAACAACAACAACAATGCCCTTGATAGAATTGCCCCAGGCATTTCTAAGGCTATAATTGTTATGGAAGCAGACTACCATGTCTTTCTCCCATAAGTAGGTTGGGACTGCAGACCTTTTGGTTAGCAGCCAAGCACTTTAACCACTGCTAATCTGTAAGTTGGAATCAACTTGTTGGCAATGGTGTTTTTTTTTTTCTTTTTTAATGACTTTGATATTAGAGTGGTTTAAAGAAAATTACATCAAAGATAGCTATCCAAAGTAACTAGATGTTTCTCCAAGTGGTCAAACACCATCCAACAGAAACACTGTCACTCCCACCCACCCCAGTTTGATCACACAGAAAATCCTGGGTGAACTATTAAAAGGGACAAGAGACACCATGTTGAAAATGCTCTAGGGCTTCCTTTTAATTTCCTTCCTCTTTCCTCCTTTATCTTTAAAAAGGGTATTATAGGAAGAAAAGAGGCAGCAATGCAAAAAGATCCAAGGAATAGGTTAAAGCTCAGGCTTATTGAGCATGTAAATTACATCTCTACCATCAATACTCTTTAGCATCAATAGCTCTGGAATCATTGAAAATTACTCAACCCTTTAACAATTTAATTACTTCTACCTCCCTCATCTATAAATACATGAGGTTGGACTAAATCTTCAAGGCCTTTTCCAGTTCCCAAATTCCATAACACAGACTATCCATAAAAAAAATAAGTATAAGGCTGGAATGTTCATTTTCTGAAGTAAAGTTGTAAAGGCTATAGATACTTTTCATTAACAAATGCCAGAAGCTATAGGGAATTTTGTGAGTGCTCAATAAATATTAAACAATCAATTTTATCTTTATTCTGCAAAATGGGGTGAGTAATGCTGACTCTACTCACAAAATTTCATGTGAGAAATAATAAACAAGACAAAGAACTTTTCAGATAATGAAGTAATTTTAATAAGCTGCCTTAATAAGTCTGAGGTCTAGCTAGATGATGCAAGAATAAAATGTCTTTTTTATTATTACATCTCTGAAATACAGCAGTCTTTTCATTTGTTTAAAAAGAAACAATCATTATCCTTGCTTATCACCAAAAGCCAGCATGAGTAATTTCTGTGCAAATGGAATTTTTCATGTGATTTTAACATTTATCACTTTTAGCAAAATGCAGCTTTTATCTTTACCTAATATCAAAATGAAATCATATCTTGATTTAAGCAGTTTAATGAGGAGTTCCATCAGCATTATACTATTCTGCCCTAAGAAAATGTTTTTTGAAATGACTGATAATCTGCACAAAAGAGAAAATTATGAATTTAATAATCGCCTGCTCAAAAATAATACAATTCAGGGATTGTTACTAAGTAAAATGATGTATTGCATTCTGGCTTCCAGGAGACTTCCATAGTATTTTTTAAATGTCTATGTTCAATAAATAATATGTTCTATATTTTTTTACAGTGTTCCAACAAAAGGCAGCTAGAAGACAATCTGATAGTGACAAGTTCCCTGGTCCTCCTAAGAAACAAGGTATTGAAACTAGCTTTGGTTTATTTAATAATCTCTTAATAAGATTTAAAGAAATTTTATGAGTACTGAATAAATTATCCTGGGGGAGAAATAAATAGTGTGTGCCTGATTAATTTTAGCTTTAATTTTGTGCCTTACCCAAATACAATTTTTTCATAACATTGCTGCATGAAAATTAGTGATCTCATATGGAACTTTCCATTTATTTCTTGAGAGAATTAAAGGTGCAATTGGAGAATAATAGAAGACTTTAAAAAGGTGTATCTTTTCCCCAATAAAAAGATATAACTTCCTCCTGCAAAAAAAAAGAAAAAAAAAATGAAATAACTAGAAAGTAATTAACAAAGAGAGGCAATGGCCTTATCAGAATGTTTATGATGTTGTTGATGCTGTTATCAGGGCACTAGTAAGGTCAAGAAAGAACAACGTCTCTAATGTGTTTCAGAGACCATTATTTCATAGACCTTTAGATGAATGTCCTGGAACTTAAGTTGGTGAGCAGAGCCAATTATTATTCAACCCAGTTTCTCAGTAAAGGGGACCACCATAGGATTTCTGTGCTCTGTATTGAATTCCAAATAAAGATTGTACACATTTCACATTATTATCTTGCTTCACTACTTGATCCAACATTTTGTGAACAACTAGGTATCACACAGAGAAGAGCTGAAAACTATCGTCACAAAGACATCTCACCTGAGAGTATTTTCCTTTTGTTCTACAAGGAGGCAGCTGTGTTGTTCTCCCTGAAACACTTGTCTCTTATTGAAAAGAGAAATTTTAACGGGTTACTCATTATGATTTTTCGGACAATAAAATCTTGGTTAAAATTCAAAAATAAAATATGTAAAATGTGGCAGACGTTGGGGGTAACATGGGCTGACTCTAAGAATCAATGAACATGTGCAGACCCTTTAACCTCAAACCATTTTTTACATAACTTGAGTCCAAAATGATATTACCTTGAAGTTATAAGTGAATTGTTGATACACTGAGACAAAACCAGGGAATTATTTCACAGCAGCCATCATTGTCAGTGCCATTATGGAGATGACTGGTTATTGATTGTACCAATTTCTACCACCTACTGAACTATTAAATGTAGAACCTCAATGGAGCTCCTTCTAGGATGCCATGAATCATTCTACAGAGGTGTGTCCTAAAGTAAATTCTTATCCCTAATTTCAAGTGGCATTTCTTTGGGCAATAATGCTGTATTTAGATCATTCTTCCAAGTAGATGGTTTTCATAAGCAACATGTGACGAAGGTGATCATCTAGTCTCCCAAGAACCATGTGGATATACTACTGGTGAATTTACATACAAGAAGCTCCTCCCATTTAATGTTTTTCACTTTCTAGTAATTTCTTTTTTTCTTGGGAAAGAAAAAGGGAAGAGAAATTGTTTTATTGGGGAAAAGATATATATTTTTAAAGTCTACTGTTATCCTCCAACTGTACCTTTAATTCTCTCAATAAATAAATTGAAAGATCCATATGAGGAGGATACACTTAGGATCAGAATAGTTACTAAAAAATATAAACAAAATAGATAATATTAATTGTATATGGACTCCTCCAAATACCTCACAGAACTTTGGAAAGAATAAAGAGAGGAAAAAGAAAGGGTTTTGAAATCTTTGAAAGGGAATTTCCCACAAGTTGTTTTCTTATAAATTATTTGATCATTGCATTTTTAATTAAATTCTTCTAGAATTAAGGAAATATGTGAAAAGGACTACAGGAGATGAAAAAAGGTGGCGAACAGGAAGTATAATGAAGAGATCCTTGGAATACATGTTCTTACCGATTATTTTTCTGGCTGTCCCACAGAAAGTAATATAAAGAGCAGCTGATTATATTCATTAAGCCTAACACACTACTCTGGAGTCGGATCCGACTCATAGCGACCCCTCCTTGGGTTTCTGAGGCAATATCACTGCAGAAATAGATTGCCCAACCTTCCTTTCAAGGAGTGGCTGGTGGGTTTGAACCACCAGTCTTCTGGTCAGCAGTCAAATGGCTTAGGCACTATGCCACCAGACGAGTACAATTATCAGTGTACCACATGTATAGAAAAATTACCCAACTGTAGCTAGAGAAAAGGAAAGGAGAGAATAATAAAAGGGAACAAAGTCCTAACTATAAAATATTTTCTTGGATGAATATGAATCCATATTTTGTTACCTAATTTGTTTCATCAAAATCAACTATCATTAGATTTTCTGTAACTCTTCAGGGTCTAAGATGTGAAAAATTTAAATCAAATTTTGCATGGAGTGTTTTCTCTGGATACTGAGTACAACTTATTTGATGGTGATTTTGATTAGTGACTTTAGACCTGTTTCCCTGTATTCTGTAAGCTGTGGATATTGGTAACACAGAAATACATAAGAATAGAAATATTGTTCCACTTATAAGAACTAAAGGAACATCAAACCTTATGAAATGTTAAAAAAAAAAAAAAATTCCCCATGACTATAATCTGCAGGGAAATCAGCATTTAGAATGAGAAAAAAAAATGGAGAAGACTTTGAAATAAAAGAATTTTGTATTAAAAGGCTTACTTTGTTCAACACTTTTTCTGGAAATGTTTTCAGACATTTATGACTACCCAGTCTCTGGGACATACTAAAATTCCACTGCCATCAAGTCAATTCTGATGCATAGCAACACTCATTGGGCTTACAAGGCTGTAAATCTTTATGGAAGTAGATTGCCTCATCTTCCTCCCATGTAGCAGCTGGTGGATTTGAACTGCTGACCTCTGATTAAAAGCCATATGCCTTACCCACTATACCAGCAGAGCTACTTTGGGACATACTAGGTACACAAAATGCTAATTCATTAAATATTCTCAGGCATTTTGGAATATCATGGTATATTAGAAGAAGTGTGTGCTTCTCCAATGATGATTTCTTTATTTGGTAGAAAACAACAACAGAAAAGAATCTTTTATAAGATTTTTGTAGGGATCAAGTTTTTTTTAAGGAATTAGACATATTCTTTAAAAAAGGTTAAAGAAATTATTTACTTCTTCCATTCTATGCTGGAAGGAAAAGATATTATGAAAGCCAACTGTTTTCCCACTGAAAGTATAAACATTTCAAATGTCCGAAGTTCAAGACTGCCAACAGATTGCCAGGAAGTTACATTATTGCTAAGTCAAGGAATTTTTCTGAGCAACAGAAAAAAATTAATTGGCACCATCTCCATAGAAATTCAATGGATTGCTTCAATTCAATTTTCACATCTTAAAAAATAAATAATAAATGTAAGGAAAAGTGCTGAGGACTTTGTATCACAGATAAAGTTTTCCATAAAAATACAATTTTCAAATCTGTTTTCTCAAGCTATTTCAGAAATTAAACAGTGCCAGAGAGCATTGTCACAGACAGAATATGCTCCCATCCCCACATCCACCATCTTGCCTCCTGCCCCAAACTGAGCCTCACAGGCAAGTCAAGGGTTTGTGCTTCAACTTTGCAAGCCATGGAACTGAATTTTGTCACCGTAATAGGATCTGATCAGATTTTTGAAATCTGAATCATGTTACCTCAGCTCACAAAGGACTGATTTATAACCTCCAGTTCCAATATATTAAGCCTATTTGTTGTTGTTGTTGTGATGTGCCCTCAAGTTGGACCCGACTCTTAGTGACCCCTCCTTGGGTTTCCGAGGTGATATCACTACAGAAGTAGATTGTCCCATCTTCCTTCCGAGGAGTGGCTGATGGGTTTGAACCACCAGCCTTCTAATTAGCAGTCAAGTGCCTTGGGAACTATGCTACCAGAGTTCCTATTAAGCCTATAATAGGGTAATATTCTTTTCCAATGGCTAAAACATTTGTATTCATTATCCCCTTGACAAAGTTTCTATAAAATATAATTAGTAATTGGAAGGTTACAGGTGAACATAGATCAAGTCAAAAGGTGCTAGAGAAATGTAAGGGTCCTTCATCAAGACCATGGAAAAATTGGGTTAATTTTCCCAGTCTCACAAAATTGTGTATTAGTCTAGGATCAAAATTGTTCTTGTCTTCTACACTTGTTAAATCCTTTTCTTTGACTGCACTGATGGACCTTTTATCCTCACCAATACCATGCCCATTTTACTAACACAATCTTACCTGAAACCAATTGTCTGTCAGTTTATCATTGCATGGTATGTTGTGTGTTGCTGTGAGGCTGGAGGCTATATCACTAGTGTTTCAAATACCAGCACAGTCACACATGAGGGACAGGTTTCAGAGGAGCTTCCAGACTAAGACAGACTGGAAAAAAGGAGGAAGCCATCCACTTCTGAAAATACTGGTCACTAAAAATCTTATGATTAGCAGTGTGTGTGGAGCAAATAATCTGAGAAGCTAGACTATGTGAAGAAGAATGTGGAATCAGGATTGGAGGAAGACTTATTAACAGCTTATGATATACAAATGACACAACCTTACTTGCTGAAATTGAGGATGACTTGGAGCACTTACTGATGAAGATCAAAGACTACAGTCTTCAGTATGAATTACACCTCAACATATAGAAAATGAAAATCACCACAACCGGACCAATAAGCACCATCATGATAAATGGAGAAACAATTGAAGTTATCAGTGGTTTCATTTTATTTGTGTCAACAATCAATGCCATGAAAGCAACAATCAAGAAATCAGACATCTTATTGCACTGGGGAAATCTACTGCAAAAGACTTCTTTAAAGTGTTAAGAAGCAAAGACATCACTTTGAAGACCAAAGTGCACCTAATCCAAGACATGGTATTTCAAATTGCCTTATAAGCATCTGAAAGCTGGGCAATGAATAAGGAAGAATGAAGAAAAGTTAATACCTTTGAATTATGGTGTTGGTTAGGCATATTGAAAATACTTTGGATTGCCAGTAGAATGAACAAACCCATCTTAGAAGATGTGCAGCCAGAATGCTCC